AAAACCTTACTTAGGGTATGACTCTCATTGTATCAGAATCCCCTAGGCTTCATGTCTGGAGAATCTAATTTAGCAGGACCAAAAAAAACCAAAAAAAAACAAAAAAACAAAAAAACAAAAACTAGTAGTGGGAATACAATTTTGAAAAAGTTTTTGAAAGTCAAATCATTTGTCATATCTTTAAGACCTCCTGGCTCACAACATCATGAACTTCCTCTAACACAGACCCAAACTTAAAGCTTACCCACTCAAGCTTAACTATGAGAGCTGTTCTGATGAAGCAAAGCTCCAAGGTTACGTGATAGAGTAGACGTTCCAGAGGACCAGGGTCAAGTCTAAACATTTGGGTAAAGGGAATTGAGAGTTAGTTCTCCAAACTAGCTTGTCAGACTCTTCAAAGGCAACAGTTATTTCTCACTTGCATTTGCATCCCCTGCTTTTAGCACAAAGTTTTTGTCTTAAAAAGTTGTTTTATAAATGAAACTAGCATACTTGTTGGAGACAGAAAATCATACACTTTATAATGTCTATCTGGGTCAGTCCCTTAGTGTAGTGGTTAAGTTTTTTGTTTTGGGAGCTAGATCCCACACGACTGAATGCAGGTCAAATCCTGGCCCCAGTGGCTTGAAATACATGCCAGGCATGTGTGTGTGCACACATGAGATAGAAAAGTGGAGGAAAAAAGACTGTGGCATGGTCATATTCCATTGGGGGTTGCACTCTCTCTTTTTTCTTCTTGAGTGTATGTGTGCATGCATGTGCACCATAAACATATGCACCTTTGGCAATTAAAATTTAAAATATGTATATATGATCACTATGCAACTGAGGAGCAGAGAAAAATGTAAAAGGAACTAGGAGCATGTTAGATCTGCATGTTTTCATTTATCCACTTTCATACTGATGGAATTTGAACCAGAGTTTAAGTGGTTAAGAACATGGAAATTGGGGAGGTGTATCTTAATATATTAGCATACTATTCTAGTGTTCATTCTTTGTCTTTCCACAGATTGTCATAGTTCTGTTTTAAAGGGGTCTTGAAAATGTTCATGAGAAAATGCTTACTATGAAAAAAACTATGCATAGACTTCTCTCATTTTTGGCATCAAATAAATGTGTACTTTAATTTCCTTTTTCCTTTTTTTTTTTTTCCCCCATAGAATGCATGCACTGAGAGAGAGAGAAAGTGAGAAATCACCCTTTTGGGGAATGACCATGCCATAGTCCCTTCTCCTCCATTCTCCTGTCTTTATCCTGGGCACATACGCATGCGTGCCCAGCATGATTTTTAAACCACCAGGTCCTGGTCTGGAACTGTGGTCAGCTATGTGGGAGTCCAGTACCTTAATCACCACACCACCTCCTGGCCCATTCTATGAATTTTTAAAGTCTCCATGCACATGCTTATTGATCCTTTGCCATACAATTTTTTTAAATAATTTGTTTCAGGAACCAGCAGTTAGCATAATGGCTATGTCGCTGGACTCCCACGTAGTCGACCGTGGTTTGTGTCCCAGACCCGGTGGCTTAAAATTCACGCCTAGCACCAGGTGCGCGTGCCCAAGATCCCGAGAGGAGAATGGAGGAGAAGGGAATTGCAGCGTGGCCATCCCCCCTGGGGGGTGATTTCTCGCCTTCAGTCTCTATGTCTCTCTTTGGCGAGCGCACGTGCCATATAACGAAAACCTCTTTAAAAACATAAATAACTTGTTTCAAGTTTATTTATGCATTTCTTCCATGAACCACACAGACAGAAAGAGAGAGAGAGCACCCCCAACAGCACCTTAGTGGGGTACGCCCCCCAGCTTCAGGCAGTCTCACATCATGGGCACACACATGCCTGGGGTACTTAGGGAGCTCTCGGGATGCAAACCAGAAACCTTCCCAAGTGGTTCAGCCTCAGAGAATGTCACATTTTACCACTGCATCATTGACAACCCCCTTGACCATAAAATTAATGAGACAAAAGTATTTTTTTAAACGATGCATTGATGAGATCACTGAAAGGGATGGAGCACAGGTGTTAGTGAGACCACCAAGCCAGGTGCTCATTCTGATGAAAAGACGAAAGGTAGCTCCCTGTTGTAGTAAAGTCTTTCTTTCGCTTTTGTTTTTGCAAATTATGACTATTTACATGTATAATCCTCTGCCCTTTCATGCTTTAGTTCTAAGAATTTAAGGAGGATATGAGAAGGATCACACCTGAGACAACATGAACTAAGTCTTTATTAACCATAACTTGACATTAACTGGCACCTCATTTCCTCCAAGTACTAAATTACAAAGGTTTTATTGTGTGTACACCCATGTCGATAGGGTAATGAGATGGCGTTTTTATGGGCTTATGGAAGGCAGTTCTCATTCGTTTACAGCCACTTCCCACCCTTTCCCCTATTCTCAGCAGTAAATTCTCTTTTCTTTTAATGTTTTATACCCACCTCAATTTCTAATCTTCCTTAGGTCAACAATGTTCTAAATGTCCAATAAAGCCAACTTCAAGTTTCTTTCCCCATTTTTCAACTCTGATTCATTTGAATTTACCACTCATTATGAATGAGAGCAAGAGAAAAAATGTATTCCTGTTGAGAGATTTATAGTGAGCCCTTTACAATTTCTATTACATAGACAGGAGCATTAAATCATAAAGAAAACAAGATGCTTCTTTTTTAATAATACTTTTTAAAGAATTATTTTATCAAACTTTATTTATTTATTTATTTCAGTTTGATCAGAGAGGGGCAGAAAGAGAGACAGAGAGAGAGGGAAAGTGAGAAAGCAAGCTGCCAGGTCTGGGACTTGAACCATGGTTGGCCATGTGGGAGTCCAGCATCCTTAACCACCACACCACCTGCTGGCGCCTGATGTTCATTATTGATCATGACGTTATGTTGATTACCAGCAGAAACGTAAAAGTGTCTATTCACTAATAAATTTCTTCCAGTTAAATATTCACCATGTAACATACAACACATAACATGTAAATGCCAATTACTTCAATAAATCAAATGTATTAAGATTTAAAAAAAAGAAAGCAGAAAGAAACCAATCTATGTCTAAAATATTTTTAAGAAATAGGGTTTTTTTGAACTTATTTTTGAGCCAAAATAAGAAGAAAATATGGGGTTCTCAGACCATTCAGAATAGAATGATCCACAACCAGCTAGTTTAGGAGTAAGAAGGTTTGTCTATAAAGAAAAAAAAAATACAAGAATGTTATCAGTTATAATTGCACAGAGCCTTTTTCTGTTGGAAAAGGAGATTATTTTGGACTGTAATATATAGTTTTATAGTATTTCTCCCATTAGATTTGGAATTTGAATAACATAAAAAAGAATTAAAAAAAAAAAACCTTTTTGGTTTCCCACAATCCATAGGAAGCTTTTTTTCTGCACACTAGCTCACAACCCGAAATTCTGTTATGGTAGTCTCCTGCATTCTCTGGGAAGCAGGTTATGCCTCCTCATCTCTTACAGAGATGGCCTTCACATGGCAATGAAACCCACTGAGGATGCGAGAAAAACATCAGGAAGAAAGAAGAGCCAGGTTTAATGATATACCGACTGCTCGATTGCAATGACGTCTGCTCCAGCAGAAACATGCGCACATTTGTTTTTCCCCAAGAAGTTCTAAAGTTCCTGTCCTCCTACTCTTAGATAGGTTTTCAAAGTCTCTCAAACAAAAGCACCTGGAGCCAGCAGGTGGCATGGCAGCTGAGTCACTGGACTGTCACATGGCTGACTGTGGTTCAAGTCTTGGACCTTCCTCTCTCTCTCTCTCTCTGTCTCTCTGGTAAAATTTAAAGATGATAATAGATTAAATTAAATAAAAATAACTCTTTAAAAAAATTAAGAATACCACCAAGGCATACTGTATGCACACGCCTAAATTATATGGTAAGAACCATCCAACATTTAAAGAAAGGGTTTTAAAGACATTAAACATCTGTTTGGACAGGAAGAGGAAATGACCATTATGAAATTTCTCAGCAAAATCAGTTGACTGGGAGTGACTTGGAAGGTCAGAAGAGATTCTTTCTTTCTTTCTTTCTTTTTTTCTATTGCAGCTGCTTAAACACTGGCTGGTTATGAAGACATTGGAACAATTTATCTGCTTTATGGTCATGATGCAACTCAGTGGTTTCAAACGTTTTACCAAGGACAAGCCAATCCTGAAAATAGGTCTGTTTTCCACTAGTTCTTTAGAAAAGAAAATGTTTAGCTTTCCTCAGTCTGTCAATCTTGTGGTAAGGAAATGCCACCGGGGTACCTTTTATAAGAATTTGGGCTCAGAAACAGCTGTACAAATCATAAAATAAGATTTCCCCCCCTTTAACCCGGCTGGTATTCAAGTCAATGGGCATTTTTAGAGGTACATTACAAAGCAGTCTCACTTTGACACTCAACCTGGAAGAAAGACATACACAATCATGACAAACTGTTTAGAACTGGATATTCTGATCGGTGAGACTGAAAAAATTCTTTACTATATTTTATAAGCAAAGACCTCCCAGGGCTTTCTTCTTGCCTGTAGATAGAAAAGCAAATCAATGTAAAAGCCCAGGGTTTCTGGAAAGGAGAAAAAAAAAGTCCTTGAGAGATGATATAGAGGATATTATTCTTTCATGAGCTAATATTCTCTCCTTGTCAGTTTTAAATGAAAAAAGGACTTAAATTCCCAAATGGGAAGCTAAATAAAGGCTTTGTAGAGCACAGCAATAACAAGTGAATCGCTGAAACCAATTTCAACCCCAGAGTGACAGAAAACTGTAAATTATTTCCTTCCCCCTTGTACCTTCCCCACCCTGCCAAAAACATTCGCTGTTAGACTTCACCCCATTAAAATGTAATTTTATCTTAGTCCACGTCTGCCTTTGTGGCTGCTAAGAATCTAGCTTGCTTTCTTTCCACACCAGTTGGATTTTTTAAAAAATAAACTTATGCACAATTAATTTATTTTTAAGTTTTATATTATTGAGGCAATAACACCAGGAGATCTACTCTTGACACGCTTTAAGGTGTACACTGCATTATGGTTTGACTGTAGGTAAAGGATAGTACAGCAGATCTCTAGAGTTTCTTCATCTCGCTTCAACAAAACTTGATGCCCATTGCTCTGACAGAGGGCAGAACCACAGCCGCCCTGGTGACAGCACTGGATGAGCACCTGGGAAAAAAGTGAACAGTGCAGTGTGTCTCCACTCGAGGCCTGAGAGCTGTGCTTTAAATACCTCTGGCATGGAAGAGTATGCTTAGGGCAGGCAGTTCTCTTCTTTCCCTGGTGAGAAGAAAAATAGGTCAGGAGAGGAGACAGATGCTCTGGTCTAGGACAGGTTTTCTTCATTTAAAATGGTTCAGTACGTTCTGAGGATCTCACCTTGTGCCTCACACAGAGATTTTTACAAAGAAAATTGAATCCTGTTTCCTTAGTGAGTAAATCTCAGAAAGACAACAGCAGAATTCTGTCACAAATAAATTGTTATGAAACTATTTGCCCAGGCTTCAATATTTGAAGGTTCTGTTATGGCGTGGTGAAGTAGTAGACTACTCTGAAGGAAAGGGGTGCTCTGGTAATCACCAAAGACTACTCTGAAGGAAAGGGGTGCTCTGGTAATCACCACAGACACAACTAAAGATGGGAGAAATCCAAGTATTCGGTCAGTATTAGATGAGGGGGAGCTTTGTATCGCTAGATGTATAGCTATGGGGAGATGAAGTGTAAATACGAGAACACTCAAGTCCTTAGGGTGAAAAAAAATCAAGACACTCGGACAGCAAGGTAATTAAAGGGAGAGGATTCACCTCCCCTTTCTACGTCACTTCTTTTCTTAATATTCACTTTGGACAGCTGAGTTCTTCAACAGCAATCAGTGTTTAGAGAGTCACAGAGCAAGATTATAGCCACATAAAATTAATTGAGACATGATTTCTGACAATAACACATAAAAGTTCCTCAGTGTAGTGCTGCCTGTTTGGCATTCAGTCTATCAGTCGGATAATGGGTGGTGTGACCTTTCCAGATCTAAATTTTCTTTTCGATTTTTTTTTAAGTTTATTTATTTCTTCCAAGATTGAGAGAGAGAGAGAGAGAGGGATGGACTCCCAACAGGGTCTTCATGCTGTGCTCCACAACAGCCTCTGCCATTTGAGATCACTGATACACACACGCACACACCCCCAATGTGGACAGAGAGACCTTGGGATATGAACCCAGGACCTTCCTGTGCAGCTTCAGCCTTGTGGAATGTTGTGTCCACACTGAGCCGCCTCAATGCATAAGAGTGACCCTGCAAGGCACTTTACATTTTTTTTTCTAATTTTATTCCTCCCAATAAGTGAGTTAAATATCAATGTACCACCATTTCACTGACTCAAACCAGACTAAACAATGAAAAACTTAGAGCAGGTCACTTACACATGGCAGGACTGAAGATTGGATGTTTTTGTGACTGAAAGCCAATGGCTGTTCATGGGTAGGTGTTCTTCATTTAAGTAGTTCACGTAGCTGGTATGTTTGAAGTCACGGTTAACAACTTCCTCCTCTACCCATTCTGGAGCCATTTTATGAAGAAATGGAAACACAAGGAAAAACGATCATGAAGCCGTAGTCTCTCTCTGTAATGAGAAAGCTCACATGGAATGCACACTCACTTGAAACATATAAATGTCCTCTCTCTCCTTCATCCCACAGATGATGTGGATCTGCATATCTGGCTACCGGACAGGGACTGCAGCTGGCTGCAAATATTACAGTGCGTGGGGAGTCCGCAAAGCATTATTAGTATTACACTTTCTGATTATAGCGAAGATTAGCTCACAGCTTCCTCATATGTTACACAGTGTTAGCAAAATTTAGTAGGAATAAAGAGAATAAATCAAAACATAAGCTTCTTTTCAGGGATCTGCCAAACCCTTATAATTATTAAAAGAAAAAAACAATGTTTATATCACAGATTTCAGTTTTGAATCTTGTAAATGTTTCCATTTCTTTTTATTTTGCTCAATCTTTATACAAATTTATGCCTTAGGCAATAATCAACCCAGAGGTCAATAAACTTACACAAAATTAATGGCAAAATAAACTACGCACAGTTTCCGAATATTGTTAGCTCAATAGTTTCTTTACTTTTTGTGATTACTATAAAACCATTTGGAGAATAATGATTCTTTTCTAAATCAATAGTAAAAAAGAAATTAATGATGGAAAAAGATTATTTACTGTTGGAGAGTTGGAGGCAATCTGAGTCACCATCAGGAGGAGAGGATAGAAGGAAAGTTACCTGTGTGCACCGTGGACTGCTACTGAGCAGACAGGAGCAATTGGCCAGATACATGCAGAGCGCTGCAAAGAGACATTGAGTTGGCTACAATCTAAGGAGCCTAGGAAAAATACCTATCAAAGTCCTCTTTACAAATATAGCAAATAAAATAAACAAGAGGGTACATGTAAAAGCAGCAGTGCACATTTTACAAGAACAAAAACAGAAAGATAAATATTAAAAAGTTTAACGTCATCACTTGTCTAGAGGAATAAAATAGAGAACTATGAGAGGAAGAAGTGATTGATTAATCAGTTAATCAAGAGAGAGGTCAATGGAGATAATATGCCATGAAGTGAGATTTATGATGACTTAATTCCGCTTCAAGGGATTTCCGAATATGAAGCATGCTAAAAGTTATTAAACCTAAGTGTGAATACTCAACATCAGAACAGATAATCATCGAATAGACTTTTAAATATTTGCATCTGGATTCATAAATTTTTCTCATTGAGAAAAGGTACAAAGGAAACATGGGGGAAAAGAACTGCTTCTTAGATCAAGTAATGTTAGAATCCATATGGAAAGGAAATACACTGAGTTCTGCATGAAAGACAGGAAGCGAATCAGGAATTACATAACCATTATATATTAGTGATCAGTATATGATTAGGTTTCACGTTTTGCTGAGAGTGGAAAAGCCAAGACACATAGAACACATGCTAACTTACTTTTAGAAAAGAGACCTACATCAAAATGTGAATATTAGAAAAAAATGCAAGGGAGTTGGGGAAAAAAAAAAAAGAAAAAGAAAGCAAATAATCTACCAGAAGCCTGGAGACTGTTTAAAACACCTTATTAGAAGTCCAGGCAAAATGTGCGCCAAGGATCAAGAAGCCCAGGTGCTCAAACAAAAACCCTGCATGGTGAACTGGCAAAGCAAAAGAGGTCATTATGGGTGAGGGAAGGGGGATGGGCATTTTTAAAAGGTACAATTGGCCAAGGAAACAAAACAAGAAAATCCACAAAGTAAGCCAAATCAGGTGCAAACAAAACACCAGCTAAAAAAGACTTTAAGAAACACTATATTCCAAAGAAAATTTAAAAAGCTTTTAAAAAAAATAAATTGACAGTAGGATGCCAGCTTAAGAGTCACTAGGGCTACACAATGATGGTAGTGGAAAAGCTGACCTTAGGAATAAAAAGGACCCAGCTAAGAGAATCAATGGATTCTTTATTTTGATTTGCAATATGAAAATGTTAACCAAATAGCTAGCTCCAAGTACTTGTGAAAATAAAAAAGACCCGGAAATTTAAAAACTTGCTAAATCAAAATATTCTCCATATCAACGGCTTATTATTAGAATCAGTAGAGTCACATTTCAAAAGTTTATATTTAGTGGCCTCAATCTCAGAGTCTATGACTATACTTTTTTTTTGGGGGGGGAGGTTTTTGCTACAGGGCGCATGCGCTCGCCAGACAGACAGAGAGAGACAGAAGACAGAAAGCGAGAAATAATCCCTCCAGGGGGGGATAGCCATGAGGCAATCCCTTCTCCTCCATTCTCCTCTCGGGATCTTGGGCACACATGCACACGTGCCGGGCTGGAGTTTTAAGCCACTGAGTCCAGGACGCGAACCGCGGTCGACCACGGGGGAGTCCCGCGACAAAGCCATTACGCTAACTGCTGGTCCCAATGACTGTATTTTTAATGAGTTCCCACATGATTTTGTGAACTGGCTTATTTAGAAACTACTGCTATAAAACTAACCTAGAATTTCAATACAATGATTGGGTCAACCTCATGGCCTAGTGGGTAAGGAAGTGGAACACACATGACCGATCATGAGGTTCAAATCCAATGCCCAGCAGCTTTAAAAACCACACTGGGTGCATTGCATCTGTGCCCCAAGTTCCCAAAAGATGAAGGAATAAAGAAGGTGTTGCGGTATGATCATACTTCATTGATGGTGTTTTTCCTCCTCTCTCTCTCCCTGTCTTGTTTTGGCAAATGCATGTACCATTTGGCAAATTCAAAAAAGGAAACAAAACAATTATCAAGGCTCACCTGTCAAGAAGCGTTGCCCAGATCCATGTTCTACCAAAGGACCAGGACTAATGATCACTGTGATTCTTACCCAGAGAAGATCCTGAAAGGTACAAGTTGCTAAATTCCACCTCCACATCTGACTTTCTTGACCTATAAAAGGAACAGTTTACACTTACGCATGCACTGCAATGTAGTGAAAAGACAACATGGTAAATAAAATCACTATGTAGAGATCTGTTGGTAAGTGCTTTAACAACTGATCTTCAACAGGATGAATGGTTTATTTAGTTATATCCTGCAGGAACGTATAACATATCTTCAAATAAGTTATACGGTAGAGATAAATTAATAAATATTCATCTCACTTAATTGGCACAGACTCAATTCTGTTTAAACAGAATGTACTGTATGTCTAGTTACTTTGACCCTGAAATTAAAATGGTAATTCTGCAGCCATTGGGCACTTACTCAGTTTCGTTCCAGGTCACATTCAGTCATTTGTCCAAGTTTTAACTGTAGCTGCAGCCTCGGGTTATTCACCAGTTGAACAGTAGTACCCATGATGGTAACTCGCCTCACACAAAATGAGATCTGTTTATAATGCGACTTACACTTTGAAACTGGAATAATCAATACACACAGGTCTTATCCCTTTGTTGTTCATTGGGAAGTTTACAACTATAAAGCTACAAGCTTCAGGGAGAGGAAGGGAATCAAGAAAAATAGAGAGGCAAGACATTTAAGGGACAAAGAAGTGGAGGACTGTCTGTTGGTGATAACGAATACGATATCTTTAAAGAATAACTACAAACTTTGGACTGGAGTGTATATCTTAGGATGAAAATGCTAAAAGAACAGAACTACATAGAATTTGTTTTAACTAGTAGTCAATGATTGCCTTAGGGCTATACTGGTTGAGAGTGGGTTTCATCCTTTTGAATACGCCTAGGATTCATTCAAATTTTTTGTCTAAATTACAAGAACACCTTACATTTGCAGAAAAACAAAAGAAACAAACAAAAACAACATCCAACCATATTATTCTCTCTCTCTTATGTAGCTTAAAATGGCAACCTTATATGAACTGCTCCAGTTAAATTAATTGAAATTATGTACAAAAGGAAAATCAACTCTGTGATTTTAAAGATTCTCAAAAAAAAAGTTGTTAATGTAATTATTCTTATGCATTAAATATCTAAAGCAAGATATTTGTCTTGGCCAAAAAGAAGGATACCAAGAAAATGACCTTCTCTTCCCTCTGCCATAGTCCAGAAGATATATTTATTAGTTTTCAAAAGGTTAAGGATATTTTTAAGTTATTGAAACAAATTAATTAGTAATACTCTTTATTTTGTGTAGCATAATCTGCATGTCATTTTCAGCTCCTGTTTTTTTAATCATCTTCCTCATTAGGCTCTTTTAATTTAGTTCAGCTGTTGTTGTGCCTGACAATTATGCCTGAATAAAAACTAGAATGGACAATAGGTGGCATAGTGGTTACACTGCTGGACTCCCATGTGGCCAAGTGCAGTTCGAGTCCTGACTCACTGGCTTGAAACTCTTGCCAGGCACATCTATGTGTGTGTGTGTGTGTGTGTGTGTGTTTGTGTGAGGCCAAATTCCTGAAAGGAGAATGAAAGAAGGAATTGTGATGTGGCCACCCCTTGTAGGGAGTGCTTTCATGCTTTCTGTCTCTCTCTGTTTCTCTAATGAGCACTCATGTGCTGTAGCAAAAAATCTCAATAAATAAATAAATAAATAGATAAAAACTACAGAACTCAATGAATGAGGCAATTCTAAAATAGTAGATACACAAAGACTCTCAGAACAGGTCCTTTCTAGCTGACGACACAAGTCTGCTCACCTCCCACAAGTACACAAGTAAAGATAAGACTTTAGATTCAGCTGGAAGTTCCTCTAGAATGGTTGGTACAGTACAGACCCTCATTATTTAAATCAGCTCACATATCATTCCCCCGGAATGATAGCACTATCACTCCCTTTCCTTCATAGTTTGACTGAAACCATTCCACATTAGAATTTTCCCTTCAACAGAACATATTGGACATATTGATTATACTACTGTATCCCAAGAGATACACATTCACATCCACAAATCACTCCACACCTTACAATAATTTACAGTGCAGAGAAACATCAATGTGTGTGCATTTGTTCCTCTTAACTGGTGCTACACACTCAATTCTGTTCAGCAAATATTGATCAGCATCTTGGATTCAGTCAAGAACATGAACAAAGGTCAATCCATCTATCAGCTAGAAATGCCATGAAAAAAAAATCCAAACAAGATAGAAATCTACTGGTTAAATTAACACCTTTATAAAACATTCATAAAGTGGCGACATGGTGGGGAGACATAGGAAAATAAGCATATAAACTAAAACAGACTTTTCTTGCAAATATGTATATAGGGGAGTGTATATAATTACTCAAGGTTATCCAACATAAAATGAATGTAGTAGAGTTCCTGTAAATAAGTTTCAAATTAATGAAACCAATAAGCTAACTATATGCGTATTACCTGAGTTCATCTACAAAGAATAAATTTTGTTCTTCTCAGTGACATGTTTCTATACTTTAGTAATAGCTTCTTGAAATGTGAATGGGTTTGTACACAACTTTTTGAATGTATAAATAAAGAATATGATCATGAAAGCCAGATCAAAATACTTACTCTGTATTTATTTATCCATACCCTTATCTCTAAATCACTTTTCTATTAACATGTGGCTTCTACCTCAATAATTATTTTCATTATGGTTTTTACTTGCATATATTACTACTGGGATGATCCATATACAACATGGATTTTATCTGGATTCTTCTGTTTTCAGCTATTCTTAGCCTCAACAAGCAGTTCCAGGAAGAACCATTCATCAGTGTGAATGGTTTTTCAATGAAGATTTTGAAGTGATTCCAAGTTGGCTGACAATATTTCCACAAATGTGTGCAACCTACGTCTGAGATTAACATGTGTTCAGTGATCTCATTTGAACCTGCAAAAAAGATAAATATACCTTTAAACAATGCTATA